TCCCCGAATTCCCCCGCCAACATGGGGGATTTTGGGAGTTGAAGTCCACACATCTTAAAGTCGTCAAGGTTGAAAAACTGGTGTATATCAAGCTATATCATATGGAAAGTTCAAGGTTTCTCTCTTGATTTCATGCAGAGATAAATTACGAATGCAGTCTGGCTTCATGAATAATTTTCTTAATGGAAAATAATGTAATGATGGAGTATCTATAAAAGTGTTTCAACTTACCAATGACTGAACAGTAAGAGTGTAGCTAAGATGTCAAAAAACCTGCATCAAAGTTATGAAATTGAACTACTGTACTAAATTTCATGGAAACATGTTGGTGTAAATGAATGAGTGCAGTGAGGTCACCACAGAACATGTGTGTGGCCTTAAGCCATTTCAAAGGCAACTTAGAATCTTCAATTTTTTTTAGAATCTTAGGCTTTGAGAAGAAGTGCCAAAGATATTCAAGCAGGGAAAAGTAAATATGTGCAGTTTCTTAACATGCAGGATTTAGAGCATAAGAAACCTTAGGTATCTATAAATGTTATAAATTGTTTTAAAATGTTATAAATTGTTTGCAATCTGATGCCTTTTGAATGGATCAGTTATAACTCCAGGCTTCCCCTATAAGTATAGCTATTATGCTGGATGAGGATCTTAGGAGTTGTCACAATATGTGAAGATAATACCAGATTGGCAAAGTCTGAGTAGAGATATAGCTATGCTTGTCTATTTTTACAAGGTGATAACAGCAGGAAATATAAAGCAATATAAGGCTTCCAGATATGGATAGCAAAAAATTCAGATGGCAGCGAGAGATATAGAAAACTCTGGCGATTCTAGGCAGAGGTGCTGGGGGGGCGTTGGAAAGACCAGTATAGCCCAAGTGCAGGTGAACAGAAGATAGGCTGGTATCTATTGGAAGGTCTGACTGATTACCCTGCATTTTCTTTTATAAAAAATCAGAGTAGAATGGAATTGTAAAATATCTGAATTTGTATTTCTGTATTCTGACAAGCTTATACCACAATAATATATACACTTTCCTTAAATAATAAGAATTATAACCTTCTCCTTACACCCAGCCCCCTCCTTCTGCCTGTCACTCCAAAATAGAGTGGGCTTGATCCCCAAAGATGTAGCAACAATGCCTTGTGTCATATAATACAGTCCTCTTTTTAAAAAAATCAGAACACAGTTGTGTGGTTTCTAAAAGTGCTCCTATCTCTCCTTGGATGTG